CAGGCAAGGATCGTAGCTGTAAGAGTACAGCAGCTATGCTTACCCATTCTTGCTTATTTCTAATTTATCTTATTTTTGTGCTTGATTTCCTATTTTCGCTGCTTTAGTATAGTTATAATAGTTATAGGCACCGAAATAGGTTACGTGCACCTAATTCTGTTTCATTTTGGTTATTCACCGCATCACTTTGCGTACGCGTGATTCCGCCGAATTGATTCTACCGAATTCGGGAAGGTCCTGTTCCCGATGCTTCGTGAACCTAGGAACCTTCTCGTAACACCTGGTTACCTGCCTTTGTATCGTGCCTATATATAGCTTCGTGTTGTACCCAGATGATCATATTATAATTTATAAACTCAATCCTTAGATCCTCACACTAGTCTAGGAACACATGAGCAAAAAGATCCATCAGCATAACTACATCACAGGAGCAGATCGCAAGGCAACACGCAAATCAATCGCAGGCATGTCAAACAACGCAGTCCGGAGAATGGCCACCAAGTCCGTACTGTCCGCGGTAGCGGTCAGTGAGCTGCACAAAGGTCTGACGTGGAGGGTGGAGACGGCCACAGGGTCCACCTCGACATATCCCAGTCTGAACTGGGGACTGGAAGGGAGTAGGGGCGGGACCACGAGAAGTCCAGCTGGGCGGGCCACTGCTGCGGCCAGTGCTCCCTGGTTCGAACGAACCCCACTCCAGCTGCGCTCCCCATTGTTGGAACTGCTGTGGGGCTACTGTTACCGTGGCAGCAGCTACTATGGCTCCTGCTGTTGTGGTTGCTACTGCTGTGGAGACGCCATATCCCCGGAGCCACCACCTCCTCCTCCATTACCGCCGGAGCCACCACCGCCTCCGCCACCACTTCCGTTCCCTCCACCCCCGCCACCATCACCCCCACCGCCACCGCCGCCACCACCGCCTCCTTTCTCACCGCCCTTCTTGCCCCCCTTGCGACCAGAGACAACTGCTGCCACCTCTGTTGCATCAGCAACAGAGGCCAAGGCCACAGAGGAGACAAGGAAGGAAGGGGCACACCCCTCAAAGATAGGGGGGAGGGGGGTACTACTGGCGGCAGCGAGCGAGCGCGCACGACTCTCGATCTCAAGGAGCTTCTCCTCAAAGAGATCAAGTGATGGGGTCAATGGTGAGGAAGTGATCACGAGTAGAGGCAAAGCGGCCAGGGAGGCGAGTGGCGAGGAGGTACAGGGTGATGAACATGGGGGGGGGGGGGGGGGGGGGGGGGAGAGGGGGGGGAGGTCTTGGCAAGTAAGGCAGGGTCGGCAGCGGAAGCACGGTAATTAGCAACGAGCGAGCGCAAGCGCAACATCAGGTCAGCGATAGTACGAAAGGCGGAGAGAACGGGAAATAGGAGGGGGAGGAAGTGGCGGTCAAGGGATGCAGTAGTTGGGGTGGAATAGTGAGCAATCACATCATCCAATAGTTTCTTAGCCGTCTCTTCCTGCCCAAAGTGCTCCTGCTCGGCCGGCGGCAGATGGTCAGTGATATTGAGCATGGAAGCATTGTCACGAGCGGTCCAACGTCTGGGCTCAGTGCGGGCCAGGGCAAAAGCAGTCCTAGCTTCTGGCGACGGATCGGCATCAAGAGGCTCGGGAGGGGGAGGGGCCAACAGCTCACCAGCAGCATGCTCGGAGAGGGGGACATCATTCTCGAGGCTGCTCCCGAGGTAGAGGCGGAGCTTCCGCAACCACGTCGAGAAGTCGACAGGACACCCCTCAGGGTCAAACTGAAGGACACGAGCAGCCGCCATAGCAGTGGCAGGCCTCAGCGAGGGACGGCAGAGGTACAGGCGGCTAGGGAGGCTCGAGTGCGGTCGGGTGCGGTCGGGTGCGATTGAGCGGTGGAGTACGGTCGTGTGCGACTGGGAAGGGTCGAGTGCGGTGGAGTGCGGTCGGGTGCTTCTGGGAGGGGTGGAGTGCGGTGGAGTGTGGTTGTGAGCGGCTAGGAGGGGTCTAGTGCGGCCGGTTGCGCTAGGAGGGGTCGGGAGTGGCGGGCTGCGGTTGGAAGCGGTAGGGTGAGGTGGGAAGGGGTCGAGTGCGGTTAGAGATGGGGGAGGCGGTATAAGGGGTGCGGGCGGCGGTGGGCTAAGGAGGGACGGGCGGCGGCGGGTAAAAGGGCGCGGGCGGCAGCGAGGGAACGGGAGTTGAGTGCGGGGCGCAAGCGGGGCACGTATGGGGCTGCGGGGCCTTCTAACGTGGGACGCGGATCCTAATATCAGGGGGGCCGTGGAGCCGTCGATCAGGGAGGCGCGGACGGGGTGCGGGTGGGGCGTACGCTTCGGGTGGCGGGGTGGGTCGCCCGGACGGGCTGCGGGGTGCGTACGGGGCGACGGTGTGCGTGCGTCGGGGCGTCGGGCTACGGGGCACGGACAGGCCACGAGCTGCGTCGGGGCGCGGGCGTCAGGGCACGGCCTGCTTACGGGGTACGGGGTGTCAGGGTACGGGGCGCGAGCTCGGGGCGTACGGCGGGCGGGACTAGGGCGGGGCGCGGGGCGGTGGGCCCATGGGAACTAACTAAGCTCTATACCATGTGAGAATAATAATTGAAGAAATGGGTGGACGTGGATGGGGTACAAGTAGGAGAATGTCGAGAGAGAAACCCTGTACCCTATACTAGATACCTCACTGTAGCCTAAGATAGTGATGATTGTTAACAGGAATGGAGTGTTGGCCTCGCCCTCGCTTGGGCAACGCCGACGACTTGGTCGGATGTACGGGAGTAGCAGCCGACCGTTCACAGTGGGAGAGCTGCTCGACAGGCATCGTCGAGCTGCAGGGGTCCGCTGTGGTGCTTCTGTCGACCAGGGAGCTCGACAGCTGCAACTGACTGGTCTGGGCGACGGGTGGGCCGTCGACCAGAAGGGGCAGTTCGACCGGGAGGCCTCCGTCGACCTGCAGCTCGACCGGGAGCAGTCTGTCAACGTGCAGTTCGACCGGGAGGTCGACGGAGCAGTCCGTCGACTTGGCAAGTGAGCAGCGATCGACGAGGGGAGCTCGGCGACAACCGCTGACGGTTCTGGTCGACGGAAGGGGCCCGTCGACCAGGGGGTAGCTCGACGGGAGCTGTGGTCGACCAGAGGGACTTGGTGGTCGACCGGAGGGACCCGGTGGTCGACCAGAAGCAGTGGTGGTCGACCGAAAGCACCTGGTGGTCGACCGGGTCGACCGGGTAACCTGCTCGACGAGTTCTGCGGAGGCACGCGAACGTCGTCGAGGTTGCGATGGCGAAGGCGACTGCGGGCTGGTATCCCGAAGTCGATGTGGCTCGTCAGGCGCAGACAACAGCCAACGGATGCCCAACGAGGCAAGTCGGGCCAATTGTCTGCGCGCACCTGCGAGCGTGCGCACTGCTGTGTTCTACGGGGCAACGCTGGACAGCCGCTCTGCTGCAGCGTTGGCACGCCGTCGACCTGCTCTGTTGGCAGGTCGCCCTTCTGCAGTGCTGGCGCGGCTCCTCTACGCAACGCTGGCAGGCGGTCGACCGAGCTGTGCTGGCGGTCGACCAGGCTAGCCGCAGGGTTGCTAGGTGCCTGATGTAGTCATTCTGTCATTGCTTGTTCAATCATTCTGTAATTTCGACTTTGCCTAGTGGAAACTCTTGCCGATTCCTCCCGTGAATGTGCAAGCACTAAGGAACCAAGCAAAGCTACGATCACCTCTAGTAGTTCGTGTCAACCCCCGTAGTCTAGCTCACTACCGTTGTAGAGTGACTCTCCGCAATGATAACATTTGACAAACAGTTGCGAATCCCCGAAATTCGTCATCACACACTGCGGATGATCCCTCCCTAGGCTCCCCAACGAACAGGTCTTGTCTTGACCAGAGCATCGTGAGTCATGACGTCTATTTACCGTACAACATTCGGACAACCAACAGAGTCATTCAGTGCCGCACATCCTGTTTTTTCATTGAGCAAGCTCCTGGCCCCTAGATTCGTTTTGAGGCACTCTGATCGATCAGAGTACACCCCTCCTGGAACTCTGTCTGTCAGAGGTGCCTCAAAATTTTAGTCTGAAGATTCAGAGAAGCACAAATTTTTTTGTCTGAACTGTCAGAGTTTCTCAAAGTTAGCGAACAACGGAAATGTGTGAACTAGGGAAACAAGGGATACAAATAGCAACCCTAAAAGTGTTGTACTCCCTATAGTGCTACTCACTGTAGCCTAAGAACCTATAATAGCATTTGACAGAGTTACCTTCAAATGTTAAGACGATCATGCAGTTTCGTAAAAGCATAGTTATAATAGCATTGAAGTTGCATCAGACGAATTAGACCATCCAGTTTCAATGCTAGTCCCTGAAGCAAAGTTATCGAGACGAATCTTCCTCGAAGTTCCGATAAGTAACCCCCCACTTCCCCCCTCCCATGCGTAATCATTTCCCCACCCCGTGTGGCTGTCTATTTGTTCGCGTGGGCACTGTGGCGCACTGCTGTGATCGCACTCGCGTGGGCACTGTGGCGCACTGCTGTGAAATTGGGAAGCTCCTCCTGATTCGTAGTGAAGGTTTCATGCGGCACTGCCAAGTGCTGCTCATACACCAAGTTTCTGCCTGCTGCCAGCTCAACTGCGTGGCACTTGGCCCACCCCCGGTTGTACGTGCCAAGAATCAGATCGGGTGAAAATGGGTGACAACTAGCACGGTTTTTCGGCCGAAGTAATACACGCCGCCAGGCTGGCGGAAACCCCTGTACTACCGGTTTCAGAGTGCACCCCCGATACCAGTCTGAGGCTCAGCCTACACTAATAAAATTAGGCTGAAATTTCAGACAACTCATAAAAAGTAAGTCTGAAAAAACAGACAAGGTATATAAAAAAAATCTTAGACTTCAGACTAGGTACACAAAAAAAGTCTGAACGGACTCTGAATCAGACTAAAAAGTCTGATATCTAGGGCACTGGCTCCTATCCCCATACGAACCACCAATATCTGGACGGTCCATCCTTATAGCTGGAACTATTTCACTCCAACTGTGCTGCTCACTCACTTCCCCACAGGCTTGACTACAATGGCGGACCGCACAGAGTGACCCTTCTCATACACCCAAGTGAGGCTCCCATACTGAAAGTCCTCCGAGGTTTTAGTAACCTTGAAAGTCACCACAAAGCTGACCTTCTTACCAGGCGAGATGGCAAAGCTGCTTGGTTTGACTGTCACCTCCACCCCTTGAGGCTTCTCAATCTTGGCAGTGTAAGTGGAGGCAGAGTCAGCCACACTGGTGACGGTGCGTGTGACTGTGATCGAGCCTTTGAGGGGCGCCACTGAAATGGTGGGGCGGTTGAGATCTCTAGGCGGCACAGCGGTGAGCTTTTCTTTCGGGTACTCTGACCGGGTCCTCTTCATGTCCAGCCCGGCCAGGAAACTCAGATACGCGCTCTTCCGAGCGTCAAATGTGAGCCCGGGGTCGAGAACCTTGGGCGGGAACACATGCCCGTTGCCCATATCCCACGGCGTGGCGGCTATCTTAGTGCGTTTACTAGAGATAGCAGCGCCGTTGACATCCTTGGTTGTAGCTGTTGTCATGATGGCAGACATGACCTGCGCGGGGCTCCAAGAGGGGTACTTCTGCATCACCAGAGCTGCAATCCCTGCCAGGTGAGGAGTCGCCATGGACGTTCCGGATAGCTGAGCGGACCCGCCCTTGTCGCCCACGCGCGTGCCCGGGGCAGCAGCGTAGAGATCCACGCCCGGGCCGAGAATGTCGGGCTTTAAGATGCAGTCGTTCGCATGGCCGTTGCCGGGGCCGGCGGTGGGGAAGGCGAGGGGGCCCGTGGAGGAGAAATCGGCGACCTTTGGGGCGGATTCGCCGGGTGAGGGTGTGGCTGCGGGTGTGGTGGCAGGTGTGGCGGCAGGTGTGGTGGCAGGTGTGGTGGCAGGTGTGGTGGCAGGTGTGGTGGCAGGTGTGGTGGCAGGTGTGGTAGAGGGAGTGGTGGAGGGATCAACTGAGGGTGACGTTTGACTAGTGGATGATGGTGTGGAGGGTGGCGTCTGATTGGTGGATGATGGTGTGGAGGGTGACGTCTGATTGGTGGATGATGGTGTGGAGGGTGACGTCTGATTGGTGGATGATGGTGTGGAGGGTGGCGTCTGATTGGTGGATGACGGTGTGGAGGGTGACGTCTGATTGGTGGATGATGGTGTGGATGGTGACGTCTGATTGGTGGATGACGGTGTGGAGGGTGACGTCTGATTGGTGGATGACGGTGATTCGGATGCGCCTGCTGAGCTGGCGAGAGTGAGGCCGCCCCGGGCGATGGTGCTGTGGGAGGAGTGGGGAGGAGTGGGGAGGAGCTAGGAGGAGTGGGGAGGAGCGGGGAGGAGTGGGGAGGAGTGGGGAGGAGCGGGGAGTGGTGCAGGGAGATGCGGAGAGGTTTAGAGGGGACCGGTCGGGGGATGCAGTGAGGAGTGGGAAGATTGGAGGGACAAGGGAGGAGGCTGGGGAGACATGGGAGGAGTGGAGGTTGGGGGGACAAGGGGGAACCTGGTGGTAATGCAGAGAGATATGGGGGTAGCGGGATGAAAGCAACGGTAACATATCAACCTCTGTTTTTCTAACGCCAACTTAAAACAAGATGAATTTGTGGCGATGGAGGAACGAGGAACAAGGCAAGATGATCACTTGGATTTCACTTGGTGGCAGTTTCCCCACCTGGCGCCCACTGTGAGGTAGAAGGGTGCGTAGTTGGCCATCGAGCGAGACAACCCAGGGCTGCCCGCGTTTCCCCCAGCAAAGGTCACCACCACCCCCGCCTGGACAATGGGAAGAGAGGAGGAACGAGAGGAGAGGAGATGAGAGGAGAGGAGAGGAGAGGAGAGGAGAGGAGAGGAGAGGAGAGGAGAGGAGAGGAGAGGAGAGGAGAGGGGAGGAGAGGAGAGGATAGGAAAGGGGAGGAGAGGAGAGGAGAGGAGAGGAGAGGAGAGGAGAGGAGAGGAGAGGAGAGGAGAGGGGAGGAGAGGAGTGGATAGGAAAGGGGAGGAGAGGAGAGGAGAGGAGAGGAGAGGAGGAGAGATAAGCAGGCATTGTGATGGTGGCAGCACGTTGGATTCGAGGATGATGAACCAGGAGCACGTGAAGTAGGGCGGGACACCGAGGAGGGAGGAGAGACAATTGGGGAGCAGGGAGGGGGGTAGGGAGGGGAGGAGGGAGGGGAGTAGGGAGGGGAGGAGGGAGGGGAGTAGGGAGGGGAGTAGGGAGGGGAGTAGGGAGGAGAGGAGGGAGGAGAGGAGGGAGGAGAGGAGGGAGGAGAGGAGGGAGGAGATGAAGGAGGGGAGTAGGGAGGGGAGTAGGGAGGGGAGTAGGGAGGGGAGTAGGGAGGGGAGGAGGGAAGGGAGGAGGGAGGGGAGGAGGGAGGGGAGGAGGGAGGGGAGGAGGGAGGGGAGTAGGGAGGTGAGGAGGGAGGGGAGCTGAGGGAAATCAACAAAAGCGAGAGAGTGAGTGCAAAGAAGTGGGTGGCACAGTGATTTCTCAAAGGCGAGAGGTGAGTGGCACATGAGAGAGTGGCACCGGCGAGAACGGCACAGGGAGGATCAGGGAGAGGAACAGAAGGGGGACAGGAAGGGGAGCAGGAATCCTTGAAGCTAAAGCGGCACAGGGGAGAGTGGCACGGGCGAGAGTGGCACGGGCGAGAGCGGCACAGACAAAAATGAGAGGTTGAGGCGAGGGGCACACGAGGTTGGCGTTGAGGAAGGCGATGTCGTCAAAGTAGGTGTCTTTCGGGTTCACGAAGCCCAGGGAGAGCGAGATCACATCCACACCGTCCGCCACCGCCTGATTAACGGCTGCGATGACATCCGCCTCCTCTGCCTCCTGGCCGTTCAACGAGTGTGGATCGTGAGGGCTGGACGTCCAGAAGACCTTGTAGGCCACGACGCGCGCTGCCGGCGCCATGCCGCTCGCCGTGCCCCCCGCCATGGCCACTCCACTATTGCCCGCTGCCGCTCTGCGTAAGGGGGAAAATGTTTGGAGGTCGGGGGGGAGGGGATGGGGAGCGATGGGGGGATGCATGTGGGATGTGTGAGGGGAGGATACATGGGGGAAAGGTTATGAAGAGACAGGCAGATGTAGCTCGCGGAGGGAGGAGCGTGCAGCGGCGGATGCCAGCAAATGCGAGCCATGATCTGTAACATGCAAACAGCGAATGCGAGCCATGATCTGTAACATGCAAACAGTGAATGCGAGCCATGATCTGTAACATGCAAACAGTGAATGCGAGCCATGATCTGTAACATGCAAACAGTGAATGCGAGCCATGATCTGTAACATGCAAACAGTGAATGCGAGCCATGATCTGTAACATGCAAACAGTGAATGCGAGCCATGATCTGTAACATGCAAACAGTGAATGCGAGCCATGATCTGTAACATGCAAACAGTGAATGCGAGCCATGATCTGTAACATGCAAACAGTGAATGCCAGCAAACCCACTCACCCTGCACACCACGTGCCGTGGCCGTTGGCGTCGCGAGGAGACAGCCAATCACCAGAGAAGTCCATCCGGTGGGTGCTTTTAAACCCCTGGTAGAACGCGCGCGCTCCAATCACCTTATTGTTGCACTTGAATTCACCCGTCGCGTCGCACTTCCCCGACCACCCAGCGGGCCGCGACGAGGAGAATCCTTTGTCGCTGAACGACGGGTGCTCCGGCCAGATGCCCGAGTCGACGATCGCGATCACCATGCCGTCGCCCGCCTCCTCCTGCCCGCCATTGGCGGGCCAGAGCGACCCGGCGGTGGTGTTCATGGCGAGGAAGGTGGGCGAGTCAGTGGTGAAGAGGCGCTTGGGCATGCTCGGGCGCACGGACGCCACGGCGGGGTGGCGCTTCAGCCGCCGCAGCTGCCCTGCTGTGAGCATCGCGGAGAAGCCATTGGATGTGTGCTTGTAGCTGGGGGGGGTGTGAGGGGGAAGGCAGGGGAAGGGAACATTAGGGTCTATTCAGCTCGCATCCATTCCCGTGCGGCTGGGAATCAGGAAGCAAGCCAGTCGCCAGCTCCTCACCTGTACTGTATGCCACTGGTTTCCACTGCAGATTTCACTGCATTGGTCTGGTCGCCAGGACTCAGTAATAGGCTGAACCCCGACCTCACTCACTCACGTATATCGGAGGCTATTCCCAATGCGTGCCTCACCTGTGAACCATCTTGTTCCAAGCCAAGCCCACTTCCGACGCGATCCGCGTCTGCTGCGACTCGAGCATCTGCGCATACGCTTTAATCTGCGGGTTCTTCAAGGAAAGCCGCGCGCGGCGCGGAATTCTGCCGGCCGTTGCTTTCACCGCTGCGGCCACCGCCTTCGCCGTCGCCATCAGACCTGCCGGGCGAGCAGCGCTGTCGTTATTGTCGTCGTCATCGTTGTCGTCCGCCCATCCGCCGGGGAAGCGCGCGACGGCTCCGCGGTACGCGGCGAGGGGGGGCGCGGAGCGAAGGCGCACGATATAGAGACCGCTGCCACCGCCGCCGCCATTACCGCCGCCACCGTCGCTGCCGCCAATGCCGCCACCACCGGCGCGGGCGCTGTTTCCACCACTGCCGCTCGGCGCATTACTAGGGCGGACATCTGTGGGCGGGGTGAAGGAACACGGATCGTACGAGGTCAGATGACGAATGATGCTCTTTCGTGCTACCTGTGCAGGGCGTCAGAATCCGGTTCAGTATGGTGATCTATGCGTCAAGCTTATGCGGCCCGCACTTACATCGGACAGAGAGGCATTGACACGTGGGAGCTAGGAGGAACAGGGCGAGGAGGAGGCGATGGGCGGTACGCATCGTGCCGCTGACCGTTATTCCGAATTAAAACCTTCCGAATCGGAAGGTATTCGCGACAAGCGGATATAGAAAATACAAGGCGGTAAGGTAAGCAAGGACGATGGTGCAAGAGTTGACTTTTGAGTCGACTCAAAAGCCAAATGCAAGGCGGTAAGGTAAGCAAGGACGATGGTGCAAGACGTCAATGTGAGTGGTACGGTATTCTGAACTCGCGCAGCATTCGCTAAAAGGCAAGTCTCCGAGTCTAATCGACGATTCTGGCGTGAGACGCGGCGCGTAGGCATGTAAGCACACTCGAGCTAGTAGGGGTACGCTGACCACGGGATAACGAGCCGGTTTAATACCTGACTTATGGGTGAGGCGTTCGTGCCGTCACTCTGCCATGCGCCTTGAGACGTCGTGGTGGGTAGGTGCACGGGGGAGGATAGGATATTACTCCTCGATCCCACGTGACGCGTCCTAAGGCATCAACATGGCCTGTTTCTGTGGGTTTGTTTATGAGCTGAACCATTCGTGTTGTTCCGTAGGCGTTATTGGAGAGCCTTGAGATTCTTGCCAGCATTGACGCGTTCGAATTTGCGCAGGTTCGATCATTGGCGAGGTTAGAAAGGGTTATATAACTTGTGGATGCAATAACCGTGATTTCAATGCGGTGGAGGGTCGACTGTCCACGACGGGTCGTGCAACATTGGTGGAGGTGACGGGTCACTTATTGAGTTATTGACCGATCGTGCATTATTGGAGCAGAATTCATCCACTGGAAAGACTACACTTTTTAGCTTGTTTGGAATGTTTTCCTTCAACCTTTCGAGTACATACGGTACAAACAAATGCAAAACCTTGGGAAGAATAGCCTGCACTGCACACTAAGTTTCCGCAGTGACGAACTATCCCCCTGAATTTTACTCCAATCATTGCTGCCATCAGAGGCAATCAGTAAGAAATCATGCTCACCAGCGCACACCAAATCTCCCCCTCTCTCATTCACATTTGTACATCCATCATGTATAGGTTCTCCACCAAAAGAGCACCTCCCTCCACCTCAAAGTCGTCCCCCTCCATGTCCACCAGATCAACGTCCGTTCCCCTCATGGAAGACGCTGCACTGAGCAAGATGACACGGGCTTAAGCCCGTTGAAACCCCACCTCAATGAGCGTCTCCAGGAAAACCAAAAGATAAGCCGAAATCTCAAGAAGTATGCACAATGGAATGCTAGGAATAGAAAGGGATGGGATACAAATATGCAACCCTAACAATAGTACCCCCTAAAAGGCACCTCACTACAGCCTATAAGATTTACTATAGTTTGACACACCCCCATTGGATAAGTGAGGGGCATTAAGGAGACAAACAAGTGACAGCAGATGGTCACAAGACCAGTCAAGAGCAAGCAACAAAACAAGGCTCAGGGTGGCGCTCAAAGTCACCACAAACTCCAAGCACAAACAAGCGGCCACAAAGCCAGTTCAAGAGTTCGCTATGATACATAGCAAAGCAAAACAAGCAGAGCAAACAGCAAGACTACAGCAACCAAGGGCCTACCTAAACAAGCCCTAGCTGCACACAAAACCTATAGTGGTCACCAGGCGCCAAGGCCTTGGTGAAGACGTCGGCAGTGTTGGCCTCTGAGGCCACAAAGTCCAAGCGTGCCTGGCCGCGTCGCTGCAACTCTCGCAGGAGAAAGTACCTCACATTAATGTGCTTCACTCTGCTCCCCAGTCGAGGCTCTCGACACAGGAGGATCATGACCTTGTTGTCAGCGTACAAGGTCGGTGCAGAGCGAGGCCGCTCACCAAGGTCGGCGAGCAAGAAGGTCAACCAGCGAAGCTCCTGTGCCGCCATGGCACCAGCGTAGATCTCTCCCTCTGCACTGGACGAAGCCACAGACGACGACTGTGTAGACCTCCACGACACAGCACTAGCACTGAGGCTGAAGCAGTAACCCTGAGTCGAACGCTGAGTCTCCACGTCGTCAGCGTAAGAAGAGTCGCTGTGACCGGTCAACTCAACTGCCTGAGTCCCTCCAAGCACTAGCCCCATGCCTGATGTAGTCGCCAAGTACTTCGCCACCCTCACAACAGCTGTCTAGTGAACAGGACGGTGTCTCCCAGTCGCAACAAAGCGAGAGAGTACGCTGAGGGGAAAGGCGAGGTCCGGTCGAGTACAAGTCATCATGTACATGAGGCAGCCCACAAGCTTTGCGTAGGGACCACTCGACTCAAAGGGCTCGTTGGGAAAGGGGCCAGTGAGTCTGTGGTCAACAGCAAGAGGAGTGGGCTGGGTGGTGGAGAACTGAAACTCAAACCGCCGAAGGACCTGCTGCACCATGTGTGACTGCGTCAGTGTGATGGTGCGAGCGGCTCTGTCCCTGGTGATTTGCAGGCCAAGGTATCGCTGCAGTTCACCGAGGTCAGTGTACGTGTGTCTCTTCTGCAGTTTGGACTTCACCTCAGTCTGAGCTGCCCTGTCTGCTGTAGCAAAGACCAAGTCGTCGACGTAGACAAGTATAAAGAAAGGAGTGGAACCAGCGCGAACAAACAGCGGCGGGCCGGCAGAAGAAGGACGAAACGAAAAGACACAAAGCGTGGAGCGAAGAGTGTCGTGCCACTCACGGGGCGACTGGCGGAGACCGTAGACTGGTCGCCTCACGCTCCACAGGGTCCCAGATGGGAAGGTGTCAGTGAATCCAGGAGGACGCCGCAGCCATATCTCCTCGTGTAGGCGGCCCTGGAGAAACGCAGTGGAGAAGTCAAGGGAGTGCAGCTCGTAGTCTCGCTGTGCTGCTACGTGCAGTAACACCCGAAGAATAGTCATCTTCGGGGTCAGGGCGAAGGTCTGGAAGAAGTCAACTCCTTCACGCTTACTGAAACCCCTAGCCACGTAGCCCGCCTTGAACACAGGCGGTGATCCAGGCGGCCGCTTCACCTTGAAGAGCCACATGCCATCGACAACGATCGGCCTGGGAGGGGGAACTTCGTCGACGTAGGTGCCTGTGGATCTCCAAGACGCTAACTCTGAGTCCATAGCCGCTTTCCACTGAGAGGCCCACTCCCCTGATACTGCCTCACGGTACGAGCGAAGGGTCGGTATGTCAAGGGCGTCGGGGTCTCCCTCAGGGGATAGCAGCATGGCACAGAGAGAGGGAGAAGCGGCTGCCAAATACTCCAGCTCAGACTGCTTGTCCTCGACACCCTCGACGGACAGAGGACGGAAAGGTGGAGCTGGCACCACACGCGTGGCGTAATCAAGGTGGCTGGTGGAAGCAAACTCAGCGACAGCGGCAGTGAGAGCCGAGACGGACGACGAAGAGAAACGAGAGTCGGTGGCAAGAGTGGCGAGTACATGAGAAACAACAAGGCGAGCAGCACGGTAGTACTCAGAGATAGGGGTAGGGGAGACAGGAAGAGAGGACGGAGGAGGAGACGGGAGAACGGACACAGGTGGAGAACGACGACGAGAAGAACAAAAGAGGGCAGCGCGGAGGTCGGTAACGGGGGACGAGGGACGAGCACGCGGAGGACATGGACAGACACGGTAGTGTGGGTCAACAGGAGGAGAAGACGGGGACCGAGGAGAAGACCAGACATCAGGAGAGTCGTCAGGAGGAGGAAAAGTAGGGCTAAAGGCCGGGTTAGACGGAGAACGGACAAGAGAAGAGGAGGGAAGACCAAGTGCCCGGAGGCCACTCACGGGCGGGAACAACTGCCGCTCAAGAGGGAGCTGCTGCTGCTGCTGCTGCTGCTGCTGCTGCTGCTGCTGCTGCTGCTGCTGCCACTACTGCCGCTGCTGCCGCTGCTGCCGCTACTGTCGCTGCTGCCGCTGCTGCTCCTGCTGCTCCAGCAGTTCCAACTGCCGCAGCTCCTGCCTCTCCCTCTCCAACAGCTCCTGCTCCTCACGCGCACGCCGGCGGGCTGCCTGGAGATGCGTGTCGTGGCGGTGGGGAGGCTGAGTGGGTACCGCAGAAGTGGTGTCTTTAACTCCAGTCTCCTCAGAACTAGCACCCCCAGTGCCAGTGTCTCCAGAGGTAGCACCACCATTGTCAGTGCCTCCAGCTCCAGCAACCCCTGAACTAGCACCTCCAGTGCCAGCACCTCCTGCTCCAACACCCCCAGAACTAGCACCACCTGTGCAAGCACCTCCAGCACCCCGCAAACAAGCACCCCCAGACTGAGCACCTCCAGTGTCAGCACCTCCAGCTCCAACACCCCTAGAGTCCACAGTAACCTGTCGCGGAAGTGCCAAAGGCTGCTGAGGGGACTATGAGGAGGAATGCGGGGAGGGAGACGCTACCTGACGCGCGACCGAGAGGGGAGGGGTAGCGTGAGACACACCTGACGGGGCAGGACCAGGGGGGGGGCGTGGGTACCGAGGAGCAGGAGCAGGAGGAGGAGAGGGTGCAAGGAAAGGAGGAGGAGGGGGGACCGCGAGACCTCGACAGGGGTACCGGGTGTAGTAGGATACTGACTCGTCAAACCGGACGTCACGGGAGTCTAGGAACTGGTGGAGGGGCAGGTGGTAAAAGGCGTAGTCGGGGGAGTC